ATCCTGGTTCAGGAGGGCATATTTAGCTCTCTGGTGTAGTTCTGGGTTCCTGGGGATGAGTTCAGAGACTGAGTATACAGGGGTCAGCTGAGCGCTGGAGTAGTTCTAGAGTCCAGGTCCACATTGGCAGGTGTAGAGTACCAGGGTCTACTGAAGAAGACCTGATCTAATCTCTGGTTGCATCAAGACCAGAGACTGAGTTGATGGTGCAATCTTAAGGCATGGGCTTTGAGGACAGGCCTGGCTTCAGATTTCATAGAGCTAGGCCTATGCTGGTGTCCACAGTAAAGCTGAGTGCTCACTTTACTCTCCTTCCCTCACATGAATTCTTTAGCTCTTGTGATGGTATTTTCATGAGCATAAAGTTGTTTGTATTAATGTTTCTAAAAGGAAAAGGGCACTTAACGTCCTAATCTGCCATCTTGCTGACATCACTGTTGGTTCATATTTTAAAATCACTACCTGCTCACTTAGTCTTGCATTAATGAAGAAAAATATCCTATCCCTCATGCCTTTCACTTCCAAATTAATGTTCTGAATCATGGTTGTCTTCATATTAGTCCCCTGCAAAAACAAATCTAAGTCCCTTCTCTACTTGACCTTAGTGAGAACTCCTCATTGCTCATCAGCCAGCTCCTCTCTCAATTGAATGTGCTTGTCCTTTGAAACCAACATGTTTTTCCTTCTCACCTCTATACATTAACTGAAGTGCCACCATATAGAAATGCCCTCCCTGCTGTATAATGAACTTTGTGACAGAACCCAACTGTCAACACATGGCTCTATTTTCACTTATAATATCCCTGTAACATGGTCAAACAATTTTTAAAAAGAATGCCAAGAACATTCAGTGGGGGAAAAGGGTAGTCTTTTCAATAAACGTTATAGAAAAACTGGATATCCACATGCAAAAGAATGAAGTTGAACTCTTATCTTAGACAGTATAAAAACATCAAAGACTAAACTTAAGTCCTCAAACTCCAAAATTCATTGAAGAAAATAGTGGAATAACTCCATAACATTGAATTTGGCACCAATTTTTTCAAGCTTTTTTTTTGGATATGACACCCAAAACCAAGAAAGGAGGTAACAAAAGAAAGTGGATAAATTTGAACATCAGAAACAAAACTTTTGTGCAAGAAACAAACAAACAAAACAAAAAACAGCAAAAAAGGCAAACCATAGATTGAGAAGAAATACTTGCAAGTCATTTATCTGATGGAGGGCTAATGTCCAGAATATATAAGCAACTTGTACAAACTCAACATCAAAACAACCATATTACAAAATGGGCAAAGGACCTGAATAGACAATACTCTAAAGAAGGGAGATTAAGGGCCAATGAACAAGTGAAAACAATTCTCAGCATCAGTAATCACTAGGCAAATGCAAATTAAAACCAAAATCAGATGCCACTTTACATCCATTAAGATGGCTATTATCAAAAACAAAACAAAATTACAAGCTTTGGTGAGAATGTGGAGAAATTCAAACTCTTGTGCATTGCTGGTGCGAATGTAAAATGGTGTAGTGTAAAATGGAAACAGTATGGTGGCTCCTCAAAAAAATAAAAATAAAAATAGAAATTCCAGATAATCTAACAATTCTACTTCTGGGTGTATACACAAAGGAATTGAAAATTGAAAGCAAGGACTCGAACAGATATTTGTGCATTCATGTCTATAGCAGCATTACTCATAATAGCCAAAAGGTGGAAACAACCCAGGAGTCTATTCATCCACTGATAAACAAAATGGGGTACACACATACAATGAAATATGAGTCAGCCTTAAAAGAAAATTCTTACACATGCTATAACATGGATAAACCTTTAAAGCATCATGTCACAAAAGAACAAATACTGTCTAATTCCACACGCAGGGTACTCAGAGAAATAAAATTTATAGACCTAAAATAGAATGGTGGTTGCTAGGGATTAGAAGAAGGGGGTAAAGGAGTTTTTGCTTAAAGAGTACAGAGCTTCATTTTTGCAAAATGAAAAAGTTCTGGCAGTAGTGGTGATAGCTGCGCTAAATGTGCCGATATTTAAAGGTAATAAACTGTACATTTAAAAAGGGTAAAAAAATCAAATGCACATCCAGATCCACTAATGTCTTTTCCATTGCCTAGGTCRCTGAGTTGTTAAGAGGGGAAGGAAACTTGAATCCTGTAATGAAAGTCAGTCTAGGATTAGAAGCCAAAAATGCAAACCACACATTTGAGCGACTAATCATGTACTATGTGGTAAAATCAGTTTTACACTGTATGTTTGTGATGAGATTTATATCAAAGCACATGATGAAACATGTTTTACAACTGAATTATTAAAGTACACAGCACACAGTTTAAGTATTCAATAAGTATTTGTTCATTAAATAGGCAGATCAAAGGCAAATGGCAAGTGTTTCAGTAGTGATTTTTTTTCAATTTAAAATTCTTAAAAATTGCTAAAAATTAAAATTGTACAAAGTCAAATAAAAAGATAAAAATATCATTCTTTTATATCTACTGTCACCTAATACCTAGTCCCAAATATGAAAGATAGCCAGTTTGAACAAATTTTTCATATTGCCATATACTATATTATAGACTCAGAGGTTCTGTCTCTATAACTGTAAAATCTCAAACATCCTGAAAATAGGAAGATTTTTCTAAAATCATTTAGTAGCAAAATCTGAACTCAGTAAAATCTAACCTTGACTGATATTTTTTAAAAATTCCATTTTATGTTATCTAATGAGTATTTAGATGCTTCACTCCAAATATGTATTTTTATCTTCTAGTATGGAAAATTTCCAACAGATAAAAAAAATAGATGGTATGAGGAAATCTCATGTACTCTCGAACAGCTTCAATACTTATTAACTCTTTCTTAATCTTATTGAATGTGTATATCTACAAGTTCTTATTTCCTTTTTGCCCTTAGGATTATTTTGAAGCATATCCCGCTTTTCCACTTAATCCATACCTACCTCTCATGGCAGAAATACTGATGCAAAGGACTGTAGTCTTGACCATGATACAAGTGTTCTCTGGAGGTATTATACATAACCCTTAAAAAGGGGGGGGGGAGTGGGAATTCCCAAACACTATTTTTCTTTTTTTAAAATTTAATTAATTTATTTTTATGTGGTGTTGAGGATTGAACCCAGTGTCTCACATGTGCTTTAGGCAAGCGCTCTACTAGCCCCAGCCCCCAAACATGATTTTTCTAAAATCCAAAGAAATCGAGTTCTAAACAATTCTGAGTTCAAAACATGTGGTTCCAAGGGTTTTAGGTGGGCAATTATGAACCTGCATACACACATATCCACATATATCCACATATTTTTTCCTCATGCAAGTTTGTTATTCTACATGTTATTTTTTTTTCTATTCCTGTGCCTTTTGCTATTTACCATGTATTTCAATCTTTCCATATTAGCATAATAGAGCTACTCATTTTTAAACAGTTGCAGAGTATTCTACTGTATGGATATACCAAGAATTATGAATTATGGTTATGATAAATATTTAACAAATAGTAAAGGAAAAAAACAGTCTTGCTCATAGATCTTTATACAGATGTTTAAAAACATGTGCTTCTGGGGTAGAAYTGGTGAGTTTGAGGTTATACATACATTTACATTTTTTATGAGTACTGTCTAATTGTCCTCCAAAGTTACTGTATTAATATATATTCACACACCTTATGATGTCTGTTTTCTCACTCTTTCACCAATACTGAGTATCAACTTCCAAATCTTTGATAATCTTCTAAGTGTAAAAAGTACCAACCTCATTTAATTTTGTGTATGTATATTTAACTGAGTAGAGATGAGTAATTTTTAAAGTTTCTCAGCCATTTGATTTTTATATTCTCTCTCAGCCATTTGATTTTTATATTCTCTTCATATCTGCTAATGTTTTTAAAAATTGAGTTTTGATTATTAAAACTTTTATACTATGAAGTTTAATATGCAGTTATGTAAAGTTTAATATATACATATATTTTTATAAAAGTTCATATAACAAAGTTAAAGATAAATCAAACTGGAAAATGTTCATTTCATGATAGTTTGAATATCTTAATATATGAGGAGTTTTATAGCATAAAGAATAGTTATAAAAAGTTTTAATATATAAATTCTTATAAAGTTTGCATCTATGTACTAAAATTGATGCACAGTATGACTTATTTCCACTTACTGATTTAAAAAGCCACTTTTACCATTCAGTAACTTTCCATATGCAGTTGAGTCTACTTTGGAAAATTAATCTTTTACATTAATCTATTTGTGGCTTGTACCAAAATATAATGATTACAGCTTTAAAACATTTTTTAATCTCTGACAGAGTTAGTCTCATTTTATTTTATTTTAGTTTTGAAGTTTTCTAGACATTTTAATACAAGTAGTGTCATTTGTCAAATTCCAAAAATAAATGCATGATAGCATTTTTTACCTGATTCAGGTCAGTCTAAGGACACTGAATTTTATATCAAATTTTCACAATGAAAAACAGCTATGTCATAAAAGTTATTTGAGTTACCTTTTCTTTATCTTTGTAAATATTAAAAGTGGTTGTTGTTTTATGTAGGTCTGGACACTTTCCTTTTTTATTTTATTTTGGATGGTGCTGGTCAAACCCAGGACCTTATACATGCCAGGTAAATAGTCTACCACTGAGCTACACTTCAGCCTCAGCTCTGGACACTTCTTATGAAATCTATAGGGCTGGAGTTGTGGTAGAGTGCTTGTCTGGCATGTGTGAGGCTCTGAGTTCAGTTGTCAGCACTGCATATAAATAAATCAATTAAATAAAAGATCCATTGACAATTAAGAAATATTTTTTAAAAATCTGTAACTTAAAAAATATATATTTTTAATATTGTTCTAGTGCTAATCTCTTCCATTATGTTAGTAAACTGGCTATTTGCTTTTAGAAAAACTGATTTTTGTATGTTGGCTTTGTAAATAATAAATTTACTTGTGAAAATATATGCAGCAATAAAGCATTACCTTTGTAAATTCAGAACTTCGTTTGCAATGTCTGTTCCGATACTGCCAGCACCAAGTACAGTTCCAGTAGACATTCCAGGCACATGGATACAAGATTGCTTAGGGGATTCTAAGCAACAGCAAAAGAAAAATAATTCAATTGAGACTTATAAAAATTATGTAACTTTGGTTAAAACTTTCTTTTTTTTTCCAGTTTTCCAGGTCTTTTTTCTTTTGTTTTTCATTGATTTTATTTTTTAAAATTACACGACAGTGGACTGCATTACAATTCTTACTATACTTAGAGAGCACAATTTTCCATATCATTGTATATAATGCATGTTCACACCAATTCATGTCTTTATACATGTACTTTTTTTTGCATTACAATTCTTATTATGCATATATACCACAATTTTTCATATGGTTAATAACTTTCAATTCAAATAATTTTCTAGTTCTCTTTCTCCTCCTACTTTCATCTCCATACGAAGGCCTGAGAAATACTACTCTATTTCTCATATTTCCTAATATTTTTATTACACAAATATGTTAGTACAACCCTGTGGTTAAAAACTACCATATTTCACCAATAATCATTACAGATTTCATGCCAAAATTTTTTTCAAAATAGTGGGGTGCCAACATTATGTAAATTTTTWAAAAAATATTTATTTATTTAGTTAGTTATTTAGTTCTCGGCGGACACAACATCTTTGTTTGTATGTGGTGCTGAGGATCGAACCCCGGCCGCACGCATGCTAGGCGAGCGCGCTACCACTTGAGCCACATCCCCAGCCCATATGTAAAATTTTTTTAAAAAATAGAAATTGTGCTGATATTATTTAAAAATCATTCATTACTAAACTGTCTTTGGTGCAACATTAGGATGCATGGAATCCACGTAAATGAGGTGGTAACAATTATGTGGTGAAATATGGTAACAGATAAGCAAAAGCTGCCCTTAATACTTTTATTTCTGCAACAGATGTTTAACAAGCACCACAACAGACAAGGGACGACGCTGGCTGCCAGGGAAGGCTGTTAAAACACTATTCCTGCTCCTGAAGCCAGGGGGAGCCCAACAAATGCACAACTCATGGAAACACAATGAAGGCAGTAACCGAAGTGTGAACAAAGAGCTGTGGGCATTCTAAAGGGGACATGGTGGCACTCCTGGGAGTTTCCAAGGGGGTACCTATTTCCCTGTGAACTTACTCCCACATTTGGGATGCCGATAAGCTACCCATAGAAGTCTTCTAATTTCACCTTGAAATTTTCCCCTCTCCAAGACAGAAAAAAAAGTAACTGCATAATATTATTAAGTAATAGTCTTAATGGTCTTAGCAACAAGTCTTCCACCAACTAAAACCTAAACTTACCTTCTGATGATTGAGAGCTGCAGTGAAATAATGATGCTCCTCTGGTCTCACTATGCCCCCTAGAATTAAAAAAAAAATAGGTGATTCTTTTCCCCCTAAGATAAAGAAAATTGTTAAAACAACTACATTAAGCTCCATGCATTTGATTGTCAATTCTTGGCCCATTTAATGTTTTATGTACATGTTAATGTACATATTGTTAATATCACCACATCAAGGTATTTGATATGCTAATTATCAGGGCCATTGCCAAATATCCTATTAAGTATATGGTTACACAGTAACAAATTCTCAGTTCCTATCCTAGTGATAAGAAGGCAAAGATTACTGGAATGGGTGACAGGCAATGTTTGAGATAATTTTTTGGTGCTTTTTTTTATATACCAAATATTGCAAATAATAAAATCAATAGCCAGGCATGGTGGTACATGCCTGAAATCCCAGCAGCTCAGGAGGCTCAAGCAAGAGGATTGCAAGTTCAAAGCCAGCTCAGCAACTTAGCAAGACCCTGTCTTAAAATCAAAAATAAAAAGGGTTGGGCTGCGGCTCAGTGGTTAAGCCCCCCTGGGTTCAAATCCCTTGTACCCAATAAATAAATAAATAAATAAATAGGTCTAATAAAACCTTATAGCATCATCAAAGGGAAACTTGTAGAAAAACAGTAAAACTTAGAACAGGGCCATAGGTACATACTGTTGCCAGTCAGGAAAAGTGGCTCTTCCTTCAGGCTGACACAGCTATAGACAGTGTTGCTTAGCAACACTTGGGCTGGATTTCTACTCACTCTTCGGCACGCCCCACTCAGTCACATGTGGCACCCAGACTTAGAGGATATAGATGCAAAATGACATGCAGTTTAAGGACAAGACAAGATCATGAAGGGTAGGAAGGAAATGCCTGGATAAATGCTTTTACCATCATGTATTACACCAAGCAAAAGTACATTACAAAAGAGCAAACTTGGGAGAACTATTGCCAATGAACAACTCAGAACATAGCGGGCCCTCTGCATCCTCAAGTTCTGCATCCATGGATTCTACCAACTGCAGACTGAAAATATTTAGGGGAAAAAAATTGCATCCATTTGAGATTAATATGAAGGTCTTAAAAATAAAGTACTTACAAAACTAGTGTGTTGACAGACACAATATATTCTAGTTCTCTGGTCCAAGGATTAGTGAAACTAAACCACTGGCTTTTTAAAGTTACAAAGGAGCCATCTTTCACTCTGAATTTGTATGAGTCTGTAAATATTTTCTCCTTACTCTGTAGAACTTAACAAGAAAAAACATTATTAAATATTAATCAAATTGAATATTAAATTAAAAATTTAACAAAATTAATCTGTAGCAACTGGAGAAATGCAAATGAAAACTACTCTAAGATTTCATCTCACTCCATTTAGAATGGCAATTATCAAGAATACAAGCAATAATAAGTGTTGGCGAGGATGTGGGGGGGAAAAGGTACTGGTGGGACTGCAAATCAGAGCAACCACTTTGGAAAGCAGAATGGAGATTCCTCAGAAAACTTGGAATGGAATCACCATTTGACCCAGCTATCCCTCTCCTTGATTTACACCCAAAGGACTTAAAATCAGCATACTACAGTAATATAGCTGTATAGAAGTTTATAGCAGTTCAATTTACAATAGCTAAACTATGGGACCAACCTAGGTGCCCTTCAACAGATGAATGGATAAAGAAAATGTGGTACATATACACAATGGAATATTACTCAGTCTTAAAGAAGAATAAAATTATGGCATTTGTAGATATGGCTAATACAAGAGAATATCATTCTAAATGAAATAAGCCAATCCCCCCAAACCAAAGGCCTAATGTTTTCTCTGATCAGCAGATGCTGATCCATAATGGGGGAGAGGGAGGGAACAATGAAGGGACTTTGGATTGTATAGAGGGGAGTGAGGGGAGGGGAGGGGCAGTGGGGATGGGAAGGATGGTGGAATGAGACAGACATTATTACCCTACATATGTGTACGATTACACTACTGGAGTGACCCTGCACCACATTCAGCCAGAGGAATGAGCAGTTGTCTCCATTTGTGTACAATGTGTCAAAATGCATTCTACTGTTACATATAACTAATTAGAACAAATTTTAAAATTTAATAAAATTAGATACAATTAAAAACTAAATAGTAATTAAGAATTAATAAAATAATAGCCAAAAAGTATAAGTCACCATAAAAATCAATTCCTTGAAGAATGATTCACATTACTAATTTCACAGGAGGAGAAATTTCAGAGTTGAAGCTGTAATAAAAAAATCACCCAAAAAGTACTCCACTCAGGGCACAGCGTACCTGCTTTGTGCTTGTCAGTCAGGTTACTATGGTCATCTTGATGGAAATATTCATAACAAGAAGTTCCCAAAAGTTCCTGAGGCAAATATCCTAAAATGGCTGTTGCCCTGGTTTTAAGATTGAAAACAAACTTCAGAATTGGTGAGTGCACTCTGTCCCAGAACACTGGAGGCCCAGCTGTGGTCAGAATAGTGGGGCTGTGGCCTTGGGGATGAGTGACCATTAGGCTGCCCTTGGCGGCTCTAGCCAGGACTAGGGCCGCACACCAGAAGAGTCACACAGACACAGCCCCCCAACCAACCCCAGGAGCGCCCTTACTACTCCCCATCAAAACTGTGGCCACTAGCCAGGCCCAGTCTCCGCATTACTGGTTGACAAATATTTTCCCAATTTATATTTTTGTTTGAACAAATTTACTGACACATCCATACCCTTATCTCACCTAAACTTTATTCCCTGCTCTGAAGCCTTAAAAAAAAAAAAAAAAACAAACCAGCAGTACTACTAAACTACAGCTTTCATAGCCTCAAACACCCCATTGAATGCCACATCTGTATATCATGTAAATGTTTACCTTTGGTCTACGTACACAAATTTTCCATTCATTGCAAACCGTGTTATGAATTCAGTTGGTTTCACTTTAATTTCTCCACTGTTCTGTGGGACAATAAACGGATGCAATCTTCCAATGGCAACGAGGCAGGTAAAATGACTGTTGTCTTTCTTGTTGTCCCTCTCCTCTTCCATTCCAACCATATCTGGAGGCCAGCTTCTCAGGTAACCAGTGCAGTGGATGGTACAGAATTTTCTATGATCTAATTAAACATTTTTAGAAAAGGACATTTACATAATTATAAACTCTACAACTTCTTATATTGGCATTTACAGTAATTGTAATGGCTGTGAAATGGTCTTTAAATATGCTACAGTGAAAGGGGAAGGGAATTGGATTAAAAAGAAACCATCAAGGACAACCCCTAAGGGGCTCCCCTCTCACCCCTGCAAGAGTTCTGTTTCTATTCTACACAACTGAATAATAAATCCTACTCCTTTTATTCTTTAAAAAAAAAAATGCCGGGCACAGTGGTACATGCCTGTAATCCCAGCAGCTAAAGAGGCTGAGGCAGGAGGACCGCAAGTTCAAAGCCAACCTCAGCAATGGCAAGGCACTAAGCAACTCAGGGAGACCCTGTCTCTAAATAAAATACAAAATAGTGCTGGGGATGTGGCTCAGTGGCCAAGGGTCCCCGAGTTCAGTCCTCAGTACTCCCCCCCAAAATATCTGATCTTGTTATATAATGATTTTATTGATAGGTGTTTCCCCCCACCCCAGAAACTAAATTAAATTATGTCAGAAAAGTAACTGATTGCTTTAATTTAGGATTAAGTAGGCCTATACTTTATATATTCCAAGTCAGTTTTGTTTTTGTGATACTAGGGGTCTGATCCAGAGCTTTGGCTATACCTAGGCCGGGGCTCTATTACTAAGCTACATCCCTAGACCTTTTCATTTTATTTTGAGCAAAGTCTTGCTAAGTTGCTGAGACTGTTCTTAAATTTGAGTTCTTCCTGCCTCAGCCTCCAGTAGTTGGGACTATAGGCATGTGCCAATGCTCTCAGTTTCCCAGGGTTTTAAATTATAATAATTATATCTTAGAAAAAGTTAAATTTCATGTCTTTTAGCTTATTAATTTTGGGGGTATATTATAGTTTATATTCATAAGCTTAAAAAGAACATTTAAATCATTATGCATATATTCTTAAATTTCCTATGTTAGCACTTATAATAATAGATATACATGGTATATTATAGAAATATTTTAGGGAATATTTGGATAAATGTAATAGGTAAAGATAAAATCTGCCTAAAAAAAAATCACTTTTCAGAAAAATACCAAGCAATGAACTCATAGGGAACAGCCTGTCAAACAGGTCTACTAGAATAAAAAACTGAAAATATCCATATGCTCAAATATCAGGAAATGCCTAAGAAAACAATGAAATACAACACAGGCCTAAAAGATGGGCGGTATACAGTTCATAGCAGTCCTCCAAAAAGGGGATTTAGGAGGTAAGAAGTAGAGGGAGAGAAAGGAAAAGTCTTTTAAACAACTTGTTTGTGATCAGATTTAGGAAAATCCAGAACAAGCTTTGTTTTACATTGGCATTATCTGAAAAGACTGTTACCATAATAAATCTTAAAAAAGAAAAGAATATTTAAGTGAAAGACCATATGGGTTATCTTAAAAAGAGCAAGGTGATAACTGCAAACCTATCTAGAAGACATGTGCCATCCTGTTTTAAGTGCTTTAAATGTATGACTTATTCCATCCTCAGAGTCCTGTGTGAGGTTCTAATATTACCCTCATTGTCTTGGGAAACAGGGTTAATGCCAAAACTGCAGCAGGTACAGAGTGCAGCTGAGGTTTACATCCAAACAGGCTGGTCCAGAGCCCGGATCCTGAGCTACTCATGCCATGGTGTTTGACAGTGAATGCTCTATTATGGGAGGTACTCAGACAGGAGGTGGAGGGCACAGGTACAAAAGGGTGTTCCCAGTCAGAGGGAAGAACCAGAGCAAACAGATTGAGACAGTAATCAGATGTGGCTAATGCAGAGGCTGCATGGGTAACAGCTGGAGAATAAAGCAGGGAACACCCTTGAGGTCTTGTAAACCATACACAAGACCTTGCATTCAACACCCAATAGACATCATCTTCTCCACATCCATGGATGCCTTAAATAACAAAACTCATGGTCCCTTCCAACCTTAGACCTAGTCTTTATCACTTCTTCCCTAGCCTGACTTATGCCGCCACAATTAACCCAGGCAGTTAAATGAGAAACCTAGAACTATTCCATGCCCTTTCCTTTACATCACCCTAATGTCCAACGTAACTCAAAGGAATTAAAATAGGGATAATCATATATACAATGTTTTCATTCATATTAACAAAACTAGGTGGTATCCAAAAATAATAAGCCTTGCTGGGTGCAGTGCAGTGATGAACATCTCTAATTTTAGCTACTTGGGAGGCTTAGGTAGGAGGAGTATTAAGTTGGAGGCCAGCCTCAGCAACTTAGTGAAACCCTGTCTAAAAATAAAAATGACTGGGGATATAGCTTGTTGGTAAAGCACCCCTGGGTTCAATCTCCAGTACCAAAACAAACAAACAAAACCCAGACTGGCTGAATAAAACAATATGAAATATTGTTTTTATTTTGTTTTAAATAAACAATATTTTATGCTGCCTATAGTAAGCTTTCTATACCAATAAAGAAAGAGACAAAGTGAAAATGATATTCCAAGCAAATGGAATCTTAAAGCAAGTAGGAATAGCTACCCTTACATCTGGTAAACGAGACTAAGACAAAAACTAACAAGAGTCCAAGAAGGTCGCTAATGATCAAGGGACTGATTCACCATGAAGACAAATGTAAATCCGTACATACCTAATGTGGGAGCACCAGATTTTATAAAACAAACACTATTAGACCTAAAGGGGGAGAGAGGCGCCAATACAATCATATTAGGGGATTTTAGTACCCACTCTCACTGACAGACAGATTCATCCACACAAAAGTCAACAAAGAAACTAAATGATCTATGAAATGAACTTTTACAGAAAATTCCATCCAACAGCTGCAGGATACATATTTTTTTCATCAATACATGTTATTTTCTCTAGAACAGACCATATGTTAGGTCACCAAACAAGTGTGACCAAGGGCCAGGGACAAGAAATACCTTTCCAAGGTATTCATTCTCTCCTTGTTCTCTTTCATTTTTCCTTCTCTCCCTTCTGAGCCACAAATACTAGCCATTGTCTGAGTGCCCCCTGGGAGCCAAGCACTAAGGAGCCACATGAAAGAGAACGGCACTCCTTGTCTTCATCAGCTCAGTTCAGCTGCCATAACAAAACACCACACACAGGCCCAAACAAGCAATTGTCTTACAGTGCTAGAGGCTAGACGTCTCAGATCAAGGAACTGGCAGGCTTGGTTTCTCCCGAGGCCTCTCTCCTTGGCTTACAGATGGCCTTTCTCTGTGTGGACGAACAACCCTAGAGCTCCTAGTCTTCCTCTCAGGACTCCAGTCCTATTGGGCAAAGGCTGTACCATTGAGCCCTTGTTTAACCCCGTCACCTCTTTAACACCTCTGGCTATAAATACAGTCACAGGGAGGTTAGAACTTCCACAGACACATTTGGGGGAAACATAAGTTCAGTCCTTAACATTCACTTTCTGTAAATTAAGAGGAAATTGCCTAAGGGTGCACAGTTTTTAAGTGGCAGACCTGACACTAAAACCCTAGGGAATTCAGAGCCCAGGCGCTTCCGACTGTGCCCTAAGGCTACCCACCAGCATTTCTGCTGTGAGGTAGAACCCACAATGAGAACCTGGAGCATCTTTGATTTTAAATAGAGGTAAGAATAGTATTTTCATGGGGCTGAGGGAGAGCTCAGTGGTAGAGTGCTTGTCTAGCATACTTGAGGCCCTGGGTTCTATCCCCAGCACCAAAAAAAAAAAAAACATAACAACAACAAAAAGGTTCTCATGAGGATTAATTCACTTAGCATAGTATCTGGCACAGGGTAAATGCATATTGAGTGGATATGAGTGGTTATCATTTTAGGCGGTTGTCAAAAACAATTCAGACCAAAATTTGTAAGTTAAATCCTGTAGCTCCATACAAAAAGTCTCCTAAAGGATAAGAAAACAAATCTCAAGTTGAAATTTGAATAAAAAATCCTAAATAGCTTGGTATATTCTTAGGCAAAAAAAGTTATAAGATATTTTGCATTTCCTAAAATTCCCTCACGAAGTTAAATGAGTTTTTAACCATTTCATAAAGCATCTGCAAGATGAATGTAGAAAAGAATTGCAAGACAAATATTTACCAAAGAACCACAATGTCACAAGAATTAAAACCACATCTTGGATATTTTAAGAAACTTTCACTGAAATTAATCAAACAAGGCTATTGTGCCATTAACATTCGTGTGTGCACGGTTGTTTTTTTTTTTAAACTTTTTTCTTTAAAAAGATCTTTTTTAAAAAGGAACAGTGGAGTGTCATAACAAAATTTTCATTTCCATCTCTGGTCATTTGTTTCTCTTTTAATAGCTCCCAAACTATAATGTATTTTCTTTTTTAAAAATATTTTTATATGTATGGACCTTTATTTTATTCATTTATTTATATGTGGTGCTGAGAATCAAACCCAGTGTCTCACACATGCTAGGCAAGCGCTCTACCACTGAGCCACAAGCCCAGCCCCCAAACTATAATTTCAACAGCACTATTAAAATCTTGGTCAATGAACAAAATATGTAATTACCTGATACATTTGAAAGATACAATGAACCAATCTAAATAAATATGGTTAAAAAACATTCTTATGGGCTGGGGTTGTGGCTCAGCGGTAGAGTGCTCGCCTCACATGCATGAGGCACTGGTTTGATCCTCAACACCACATAAAAATAAAATAAAAATACTGTATCYGACTAAAACTGAAAAAATAAATATTAAAAAAATTATTTTCTTAGGTGTTTTTGGTCTTGAAGCCCTGACTACACATTTTACTTTTTTTCTGTATGAAAAGTATTTAGGACATTAAAATTTGCATCTATGCTACAAATCACTTGACATTTCAAAAGGATCATACCTTTCTTCTTTAAGTTGGGTAAACATCCGTGTTCTTCTTTGACAGAGATTTTACAGCTCTTTATTCGGCAGAAGAAAGATCGTCTGGAGCCAGAATACACACGTGTCCTCCCAGCGTGACAATTACTGTGAACAGGCAAACCAGCTTTGGCAGAAGGGGGCAAGAGAAGAGGTGGAAAGAAATATTTTCAAATACTTTTAAAATTTACCTCCTGATGTTTTCTGATCACCTACAGTGTTTTAACAAATTGAGAAAATAAATGATTATTTAAAGCAACATCATGATTATACAATAAATCCTGAACTGAACATACCAAAAAGTGTGGTTGTCAAGCAATCACATTTGACAATTCAAAACACTTGCAGTTTTTCTCCCCCACCATGGGGTGGATAATAAACTTATATGAAATAAAAAACTGAATTAAAAAAAATAAAGAAAAACTTCACTACAACCACTGTCAGAGGCATAGAATTTTTATATCATATTGGCACTTAGCATTTTCAGAGATTAAGTATTTTCACAGAATATAAAGAATTAGTCTACTTCCTGAGACCAGTTAGTATAACACAAGGTTTTTCATACTAAAAAGAACTAACTCAGGTATTGTCTCTCAGCATATACCTAAGTAATGAAAACTCCAACAATTGTTTTTACCCCAAACAATATCTTCTTAGAAAAATTCATTTGCTTATAAAAAATAATGACTATGAATCASTCATGTGTTTCCCAAAGCACCTTCATTTGAATTGATCGCTATACTTATTTTCAGGTGTCTGTGTAAGTCTAGGAATTCTCTGTATAGCTATGTATTTTTCACCCTCTAGAGCTGGTGAACATAAAGTTCACTAATTCTCTTCTTGATAAAACCTTAATTAGCTGGTTTAAAAAATTGTTCAGCTGTACTTTCAGGTAACAATTATATTTATAGAAAATGGTAAATAAATGAGTACTTACTTTTGGCATCTATTAGCTTCTCCCTTGGTGAAATATCAGAAGAAGAAAGTTGTTCCTTTACTTTGGCAACATCTTTTGGATGTAAGAAGTCAAATAAGCTTTGTCCCGTCAAAYTAGCCTATTCATAAGGCAGAGGTGCATTTAAAAATCAGTGCCACCTTTTTTTACATTTCCTCACACAGACATATGATAAATATTCCCTGTTAGAGGCTGATTTTTCTTAAGCTCAAAGATATATGTTCACTACATGGTGAAACATTGACTAAGTCAGTGTTAGAAGCATGGTGATATTTGTAGACAGAAAAAAATACATGCACTCAGAACTATTCTTGGATACACACAAACCATATACAAATGCCTAATTGCCAATATTCAGTTAAATCTTGTTACTGTTTTTAACATCCCCCAATTCACATAGTATGTATAAATCACTATGATTTACTTTGAGCTTTTTTATCCTTGATAAAAGCAAATAGATTACATTATAGAATATGTAAATCACAGAATATCCAATTTTAGGGTATAAGTTCACTATACTCTAAACAAACATAATACTTAAAACAACAACAACAACAACAAAAAACCACCCCAGAAAACCTCTCACTTCCCTGTCTGACTACAATGATCATACCTCTTCTGAACTCCTGTATTACCCAGGTAGACATTCCTGTAGCAGGTGGAACAGATGGACCAGCTGACACAAGAAGACAGAGAGACTAGAAAACCAGCAACCTGACTTATGTACTAGGGTGTCGAGTGTTTGGCTGATATAAGTTTATGACCATAACTCTCTACTTTGGAGCAAGTCAGGTTTCTGAATCTGAAAAGCCAACTAGATCCTGTTATCTATCACAGGGATCCCAACATCTTCCTGAGTAGACAGTGAGCCACTTAAATGGGATCTGACGTGAAAAAGTCTGTGCCCAGTGGAACTGAACTCTGTGCCACTGATTTGGAACTTAAATGCTACCCTGTATCATAAGTTATCTTAGCTTGGTGTGTGTGTATGGTGATCTCCAACTCCAATTAAAAAGGAGTCATCAGGTCTTGTACCACTCCTGTGCCCCCAGCTGTCACAGCTGCATGATTAACTGGTTCTCAATCCTTCTGCATAAAGGCTTATAATACATCTTTTCTAATATTTAACCCATTACCTATAAATGCCTCATATCCTTCCAACCTTGAAAACAGAGAGGAAATAATGGGGTTACTCAAGATCAAAGCTGTGGTCTACCTGATTTCTAGTTTATTCACTCTGTCGGATTAGTTTCACTACTATAGTTTTTGAGTAGCTAGTTGAAATTAAACAGTGCTCAAGAATGAGGTAAGCCAGTTACACAAAAGATGTGCCTTGGATTTGTTGCCAGAGCTGAAATCAAGAGCTATTATGCAATGTATATAACTTAATAATGAGCAATAATGCTGTCTCTAGACATACAGAAGGGTGACTAACACTTTTCAGACACTCCAGTTTGGTATCTTTTTTAGTCATTGTACCCTGAGAGACAGGTATAATTATTATTTCCCATATTTACATAGAAGGAGGCTGGGGTTCAAGAAAGTTAGCCTGCTAAAAGTCAAGAAAGGAACATAGATGTCAGTAATAAAAACCTACCCTCTTTCCGAGTACCTTCTTCTAATTTAGCAAAACCTAATCCCCCCATCCCATGGATTAGTTGTTTAGAAACAGCTTCAGAAATATGAATTTGTTCAAAAAATTAAACATTGGAAAACATCCTTAGTTGTGGATACCTGATCATAATTAAGTACTTTGGAGACTGACTTAGAAACGAAGAGAATTTTTCCTCTTTCACATCCAACCACAAACAGGAAGCCTTCTGCAGTCTAGGATTTAAAAAAAAAAAAATACAATAAAGTGTAAAACATCTTATGTCCTACATTAGTTCAGATGTTAAGGAAAATATGTGGCAATAAAATCAAGAGTGCTTACCGAGATGGTAAAAATCAATTTTAAGAATTTTTTAAAAAAATATTTCTTTTAGTTTTCAATAGAGCTTTATTTTATTTAATTATATGCGGTGCTGAGAATCGAACCCAGGGCCTCACATGTGCTAGGCAAGCACTCTATCACTGAGCCCCAGCCCCAGCCCAAGAAAATTTATTAAGATGTAAAGATTGATAGATGATCAAACTGAATCCTAGCTTATGTTTTTGACATGGAAGCTTTAGCTGTGGAACGTTCGGTTCAGATATTTTCTAATATAAAAATTACCTTGACCAAATTCTACTCTCCTACATACAGGAACTCTAGTCATCAAAAAAAAAAAAAAAAAAAAAAAAACCCACCCATAGTGAGGATGGAGGGTGTGCCGAGGTGAGGGCATTGCGCAGGTCAGGAAAGGTTGGACATGAGTCACTGGACACCTTCATGACACTTTCACATACATTCTGAATAATGCGACCACTCATTCAAAGACAGACTAAAAATTCTAACATATCCTCATCTCCCACGATATCTCCCCTACAAATTCCCCTGTGATGCAGCCAACAGGGAAATGGAGATGAACAAACACAGAACAGGAGTCTGGCACTCCTACTTGGCATTCCTTGAACTTATTTTTACCAGTTGGAAACGAGTGAGGTGAATTAGGCAGAAATATTCGGGGGAAGGGGGGTGGGATCCACAGTTATACGTATGAAGTTATGATTGAAAAAAAAATACAAAGATTTGTGAGAAAGCTTCCCAGAAATACATTTCCCCATGTTTAAAAATTATTATTTTGTTATCTCCAAAAATTCCTATTTATTCATGTTAGGAATACTCTATTTACATTTCATGGTTTAAAGAAAAGAATAACTTTCTAAAAAACAAACAAGAACAAAATCTAAGGGCTGGGGATAGTAGAGCACTTGCCCAGCATGTACGAGGCGCCGGGTCCAATCTCCAGCACCGAAAGCAAAAATAAAAGAACCTTAAAGAAAAAATGAAGAAAATCATGAAAACATATTTGAAGACTGTTTGATAAGAGTACAGCTTGAAGCTCATGTCATAGCAGATGACCAAGACACTTATCATCTGCCCAGGATAAGCCAGTCACATGTCACATCTTCCATGGCAAATCTCCAAACGGTGACTCTGAACCCTCACACATATGGAAGAATGAGGACAGAAATGCAGACCAACAACCCATCCTGCAAGCAGTGACTGTTCATGATCAGAGAACAAGATCCTGAGGAACAGGACACTAGTTGGAAAGCTCTGAAGAGGTGACAATAGTGAGGACAGACCCATCAGGCTGTGTAAGGAGTTCACGCTACAGACAGGAGACAGGGCCCATCCTTCATCTCTCCTTCACTAATAAGGCACACCAATTTCTGTCTTCAATCTCTATATTAGAAGAAATGTGGTAGAATACACCTTTTGTATTCTGTGTGTTTGAACAGAAGCAAAGACAATCTGCCTCCCACTCAGAAATGAAGGGACAAATACAACTTAGACATGTATCCCTTCACTTACCTTAAGGATTAGGTGCCTGAGTTCATTATCCTGAATAAATGAAGGTCTATAGTGATCTCCTAAATAAGAATTTGTCATGCCTAAAAATAAACAGACCAAAAAATTATTGAAAATAGAGTGGAGAGGGAAATGAGGTAAGTTCTCAGTGAGCGCTAGCAAGGCTGCTGGTGCTACTGAGGAGGAGGATGGCGGGGGAGCATTTTCTCTTCTGTAAACTTTCTCTTCTTCCATTATTACTAGATTAAAAACCTTGCTTTGGGGTTGTAAATCCTTGGAACTACTCATTCCTTTGTATTCAAATTCACAAATAGTAAAAGCTTTAAAAAGCATTATAAAATGCATGTACAACAATATTCAAGAATATAGAAGAGTTAATTTGATAATTTCTTAACCTCATTAAAACTCACCATAAGAATTCCCCTGGATGGGGAAAGCCTGAAAATGTAAACAAATTTTATGGACTTGTAGTATTTTCAACTAAGAAAACTCCTTCAAAGATTACATGGAGACTTTAATAATATACAAAAACTATGTAAAATACAAATGAAATAATTCATTTTGAACCCCTCAGAGCTCATTATATTGAAATTGAAGCCTCTAAAGCAAATGAAACATTGGGAAAAAAATGAGAAGGAATTCATCAGACCAAAACCTGGGTAAAAGTTTGACCAGAGACCAGCAAGAACCCAAAACAGGTTACCTGTGTTGAGAGCATCCAACCCCGACATGTGATAGCCCTTTGTGGCCACAAGGGGGCGCAGAGGCTGAGCTACAGAACCAAAGTGCAAGGGCAATTGTGATGCAGAAGCAAATCCACTTTCCCCAACTCCCTTTGAAAGAGTTAGGTGGGGGTAACACCCCAAGACATTTTAACCACAAATTGATCCATGGATAGACCTGCAGCCCACACTCACTAATCATCTAAATGACAGGGGATAGAAAACCAAAAGCACTTCATGGTGAGTGGGTTACATTTTCCCAGACTAGTAGCATCTGGAAAAGCCCAGCATAAGCAAAGGAAAATCTCCTCTGTCCAAAATAACATGCATCATAGGCCTCAAAGAATTCCCCTGAATGATTTCTCCTTTGTTATTACGACACAGCACCTGGTAGACTGGAGCAGGAGGGAGTTGAGAAAGAACTGAAAGACACTCAGACAGGGTTCAGGGCCAGGGTACAGCAGTGGAGAGATTCTGAACACAGTGGGGACACTTCTAGGTCTGGCTTGAAGCAAGATCGACAGAGCACATACAGCAGAAACAAGTTAGGGAAACCCTGTCAGTGAAAAATCACTAAAAGACCACGCTTGGGAGGAGACACATGCTGAAGAGAAAGGAGAGCAGCCCAGGTAGGGTTGAGGCTGCAGCAGGTTAGCCAACACCACAGATGCTGAGATATTCCATGCACCTGCCACGACCTCTAACATACCTGCTTTCAGAAGTCCATCAGCAAAAACGACCAGGCAGCCTGACCGCTTCACTTTCCCACAATCGATGTTGGTTATGGGTGGCAGAGCTCAAAGTGAGCCCAAATGACAATGACCAACACTCTTACTACCACCTTCCCCATTAGAAAACTCCACTAGCAATTCATATGCATTAATTTTTTTACTTTTTCAAAAATATTTTTTTAGTTATTGGTGGACTTTTATTTATTTAATTTATTTATTTATGTATATGTGTGGTGCTGAGAATCAAACACCAAGCCTCACACATACCAGGCAAGTATTCTACTACTGAGCCACAACCTCAGCCCCTAATTCTTTACTCTTAAAAACAACCCCAAAAGGCAGATTCATCATCCCCATTCTAGACACATGGAAATTGAGTGTTAGAATGTCAAATGGCTTGTGTAAATCACAGTTATGAAGTTCAAGGAGTCTGGATTAGGAAGTTTACCACCAGAGCCTACACACATGAACCACTCCACTCTGTCACCACTGGCAAACAGACTGCAGACACAGGATGTCCACAGGCTCTCTGAAAGCACACGTTGCAGAGCTGGGCCTCTCCAGATGTGGTCTGCAGACCACAGGCATCAGCAAACCACAGGGAGATGAGGTCAGAATTTAAGAATAAGCAGTTATGACAGTTTTACAGAAGTGCTAACATTTTCATATCATCTAAGCCCTTGATTATTTTTCCAGTTATCAACTGTATTCTGCAATAGGTGGGGAGTAGCAGCAGGTTACACGGGTCCCCCACCCATTTAGTTTGAAAGCACTACTGAAGAGTGTAGTGGGAAAAAAATTATTTCAACAATGGTCTGCCTTTAAAATAATTATGGTATCGACCAAGATACATGGTTCACCCGCAGCCCTTGAAAACSCAGCTTCTACACTTCCGCAGAGCAAGCCCGGTATACCAAGTGCACTGGATGCAGATCCGATGGCCTATGTCATCTCATGTAAGGGGGAGCAGCACTGACTGAAGGACCTGGTGAGGCTGTGTGGACGAGCACCTGACCACTCACTTCAGCTCAGAAGGACTGAAGGCAAAAATTGACACTCTGCTGCAAGGAATCCCCCCTGGATTTAGAGAGTGCCTCCTCCCCACCAAGTACCCATGGCCTCTCACTACACTCAGACCTCGCTGGGACATTTACCACAGCAGGTTTTAATGATTTTGCCATCAGTCTGTGCCCCTTGTCTGGCCATGAACCCCTAGTGGGCAGAACCTTGACTCATTCATTTTTAAGCCCTAGCACAGAGCAGGCATGTAGTTCAATTCATTGGCTGATCCCTAGCGTAGGTTCTCCTTTCTCAGGACTAACGTGAAAATACAATTTGCAATCAAATGACCTCAGTTGAGCCTGCAAATTTTCATTGCTACAAGATTCAAGGGAAATGCTGCATACACTTTTTGCAAGTCCACTTGTGGGCAAAAGAGAACTTTACTGCACAATAGACTCTTATGAAAGTAAGATCTCCCATCACGCTCCCAAAAGGAAGCCTCGGGAAAAATACTGCTCTCCTCTAAGTTGCTTCTTCAACTGGATCAGGCAAAGTCCCTGAAGGAGGTCCATCTTTCCCTGAATTAGATGTTCCCTAAAAAAAATGGCTTACAGTGTAGGACAGAGATCTAGACCAAGCCCCTTGGTCAACCTTTGTTCATTCCTTTTTTATACATTTTGAGCCAAATTTTGCCATCATCTTTTAGATCTTTACACATCTTCAGAGTCTCCTTTGTGGTCTTCAGCTTGCTACTCTGCCAGGTCTTATCTTCTCAACCCAAGTTTGTATCAAAAATATTATAATAATCTAAAACTCAATTTTCTACTTCCATTACCCAGCCCCTCAACTTAGACTAGAGTTATTCCCAAACCAGGCATGGTCTCTGCTATAATGAAGACACATATGCACTTATTATGCTTCAATTTAAAAGTTAGACTGAACTTGGGGGACTGCTAGTGTTAGACACAAGTACACACATACCAAAAGGCAAGGACAAAGGACTTGGTACATGGGAGAATACCTGCTGACAAATGTGAATGACGTTTTAAGAGAAATTGAATTCAAGGAGACTATTTTCAAATAGAAACCCCCCAATGCCTTTATACTGTAATAATTAATACTGCTCCTCAGAACTTCTTAAGTATTGAGAGATATGAAGGGCAAGTAATATTCTCTTCCTATTGCACACAGGAAAGCAAGCAGAATATAAAGACTCTGAGTTCACCTTGTAAGCTTGAGATAAAGCTTTCATCAGAACCAAGTTTTCTGACTTTCAATTTAATATTCTCGACACATACAGACTAAGGACAGACAATGCCTATAAAGGGGGAAGACACATGGGAATAGAATCTCAATAGCCAGTAACAAAACCAACCAACCAGAGACACCAATCAGAGAAGACACCAGAAGCTTCTGGGGGAAGCTCCTCTCAAACTCACCTTTTACAGACTTCAGGTGCTGGACAGCCATTCTTAAAACTGTGAGTTTGTCCAGTTTACGGGCCACAGGATGGCACTGAGGGATCATGGCAGACAGTTCTTCAATCAAGTTGTTCATTTTATCTCTTCTCCGCTTTTCGGTTTGGCTATGAGCTTCTCTAAGAGGGAGAAAGAACCTTCTTGACATTACCATTCAGCAGACCCAGAGTCACCCCAGAGGCACCCCCTGGAGCACCATGAGCCAGGCAAGCTCCGGTGCTCCTCTGCCCAACTCTGGCCCTGCAGCTGCCATTTAGGGAAAAGGAAAGAGCTGTGGGAACAGGAAAAGCACTCATAAAATTCCTGTTTCTCTGGCTGGGGATGTAGCACCGTGGTAGAGCACTTTTCTGGCACGCCCAAGGTCCTGGGTTCCATCCTCAGAGCAGCCCCTCTGTCACCTCTGTTACTGCCTTCCTTTAGGTTCTTTGCATGGCCCCCAGAGCCTTTTAGAGTTCCTTTTTCCAGTGTTTTCCTCTTCTAGCCCACTACACACATCTTCCAGAAATCATCTTCCTAATTCTCTAAGCCCATCTGCAGTGCCCCAGAGGAAGAGCCAAGCTCCCTGATTCCACTTTGAGATTCTTCACAACCTGGCTCATGCCTTCCTCTCCAGTTCCCTCTTTGCACATCTTTTCCTGACAGCTCCAAACATCATGTGGCAGCAACGCCCAAAACACTTATCACAATGTCATACACCTCTTCCACACCTCACTCTTCACCAGGCTTGGAATGTCTTTTCCTTGCCCCCCAAAATCCTATTCTATTTTCCAAACCAAATTCACTCATTCTTCTGGAAAGCTTTCTCTGATGACTCCCTGACCAATCATTCCCCTTTCTTGTCCACCTCAGTACCTTAAATACCACCGTCACACTTCATCCCATCTTAAACACCATCAATTGTAAAATATACTCACAAGGAAAAAAAATACCCTCAATTATCAGGATTATGTCCCAGATGATAAGACTTTTCCCCAGATGATAAAATGTAACAAGATAAAATGTAGATCTTAGATTTCAAGAATTATGCCGTTTTATTTCCAATATTTTGCTCTAAACATTTGTCTGTTTCTCCTACAACACTCAGATCGTGGTAACTCTGAAAATACCATGTATGAAGAATTTGGAGAGGGGCTGAGGCTGGGGCTCAGCAGTGGAGCGCTTGCCTAGCATTTGTGAAGCACTGGGTCCGATCCTCAGCACCACATAAAAATAAATAAATAAAGGTACTGTGTTCATCAACAATGAAAAGAAATAAAGAGAGGAAGGAAGAAAAAAAGAAGGAAGATTTGGGGAAGGGGGAGCAATTTGGTGGGAAAGAGGAAAAGTGAAAGGCTTGCCCTGATCTGTTTTTACAGAGAATTTTAATCAAATGGAAAAATGTAATTTTTCCAGATTGCCAGGGGTTGGGGGAAGTGGGAAGAGCACTGACGGAGACTGCCAATGCTGAATTGCCACCACCCAGCCACTCTCCCTTAGCAACGCCATTCTGGAGACAAAATAGGTACTTTGGGGGTGAACTGGATGGAATTCAAATTTCATTTACACAAAATTTAGTTATTTATTCCTTCTTTGATCTAATCATGAGCGACTTTTAGATTAAGATTTTCTGATTTAGGGCTGGGGATGTGGCTCAAGCGGTAGCACTCTTATCTGATGCGCGGGGCACTAGGTTTGATCCTCAACACCACATAAAAATGAAATAAAGATATTGTGTCCACCTAAAAAATAAATATTAAAAATTTTTAATAAATATTAAAAAAAATATTTTCTGATTTAAAGAATGTCACAGCTGGGGCTGGGGTTGTGGCCCAGCAGTTGAGCACTCGCCTGGCACATGCGAGACCCTGGGTTCGATCCTCAGCACATTAAAAAAAAATAAAATAAAGGTATGGTGTCCATCTACAACTAAAAGAATTTTTTTTAAAAAAAAAAGAATGTCATAGCTATTCTCTTGTGAAAATGATCCCTGGTTTCTCCCAGAAGTACCCATCAGCATGGGCAGCATCAGTGGCCCAGAGGGAGATGAATGCAAGGTGGGCACAAGGTGGGCCACCGTGGAGAGCAACGAACAGCGATGGCGGGAGCTRGGAAACTCTGAGGGAGGCGAAATTACCAGTTTTGAATATGGTAGTTTACTTGAAGGAGCTGCACCTGGAAATATTTCTGGGGGGTTTATTAAGGAAAGGCATACTTATCAAGAGGTTGGTTCTTTTACTGATAATTTATCAGCCCTCAATTCTAAGTAAAGCAATGGCTACTTAGAACTATGCAAGTGTTTTGTAGAATCGACTCAGAAGACAGAATAAATACAGAAAATGCAAAAGTCAGATCCGGACACTTTTGCCAGATGTCGAAAACAATTCTGTTATTGTTTAAAGAGTATGTGAAGCGGGGCACAGTGCCACACACCTATAATCCCAGCATTTTAGGAGGCTGAGTATGGAGGATGGCAAGTTCAAAACCAGCCTCAGCAACTTGGCAGGGCCCTAAGCAACTCAGAGAGACCCTATCTCAAAATCAAATATAAAAAAGGCCTGAGGATCTGGTTCAATCCAGGGTACCTAAAAAAAAAAATATGTGGAAATGAATGACAAAGGATTTATGATGAAGGATTTCTAACATCAGATGCTTCTCAAATGCAGTTTTGATTTGTTCAAAGCATGAATCTGTTGTTCTCCAATACTTAAAGAAACTAATCATTGTTTTTAATAAACAGCTACTCTAAGAGAAATTTAAAAGCACAAAAGTCAAAATGTTATTCATGTAGATAGAAAGGTAACAGGTCACTGATAACGTTGCTCTCAGAGCATAGCAAGTGAGGCAAACCTGAAACTCATGAATAAATTCTAACTTTACATTGTTTTTAGTTTAGCTAAATGGTGTGTTTGTGTGTGTGTGTGTGTGTGTGTGTGTGTGTGACCTTTTCCACCTACCATGTACCATCTTACAACTCAATGTACCTGAAGGACTTCATTTTTACTTGTTGCTCACCATCTTCCATTCTACAAAGAACAGGATGAAATGTCAAACTACATGAAATATCTCTCCTATAATTCTTTTTTGTTTAGTTCTTGATGGACCTTTATTTTTATTTACTTATATATGGTGCTGAGACTCTAACCCAATGCCTCACACATGTAAGGTAAGTGCTCTACCACTGAGCTACAACCCCAGCCCCAGCTCTCCTATAATTCTTGAGAAAGAAATGTGAGATAAAGATGATCATCTCATTCCTATGAAACCTTTAGCTATAAATGCTACCTTGAACATGTAAGAATCCAAAATGAGGATTATGTTACCTGATCTGCTTTCCTACCAAAGCTGCTAGGCAATGCCATCCCCATCAGGGAAACCGAACTGATGTTAATGAACAATGAACAATAATTGATGTGCTATTTGGAAATAATCTCATACCAATTTTGGGAAAGAATAAAACTTCCATAGAAATAGGACTGGGGATGCAGCTCAGTGGCAGGGCACTAGCCTACATGACCAAGTGCTTTGGGTTCCACCTCAGCACTGGGAAAAAAAAATACAGTATTTTTTGGCAAAACAATTGATGGCTTAACCAAAAACTTTATGACAGCTGTACTAAAACAGTCCAAAAATGCATTAAAAATGTCATACCTTCAATCAAAAATAACTTTTTTGTCTAATAATCTATCTGGATAGTAAGAAATACTATGAAAAAGGGAAACTCTGATTACTTGTAATATTAACTGTGCTAATTTTCACATTAGCACAGTCCCTGGCATCAGAAATGTACTCACCAGTGCATCAACAAGTGACATACATTGATGGCGATTCTCAATAGTAAAAAATTATTCAGGCTAAGCAGTTTGTAAAAATATGTATAAAAACATATACTTTCCAGCRAGGTGTAGTGCCTATAATTCCAGCAGCTCAGCCAGGAAGCTGTCAGGAAGCTGAGGCAGGAGGACCACAAGTTCAAAGCCAGCCTCAGAAAGTTAGTGAGGCCCCAAGCAACTCAGCAAAACCCTGTCTCTAAATAAATTGGGAGAAAAAAAAGAGCTGGGGATGTGGCACAGTGGCTAAGTGCCCCTGGGCTCAATCCCTAGTACAAAAAATAAAAACAAATAAATATATTTATATGCACACACACACACATTTCCAAATGTATTATTTTGCTTTTCTTATCTTCTTCCAATCTATTTCCTAAACATGTAGAGACACATATGAAACCAGCTCTGATTATTTAACTTAGCCAYAGTCTATGTGTGTGTGTGGTGAAGTTGTACAGATATTTCTGGGTATTCTGCAGATATAATAAGCAAAATTCAGGTCACAGTGTATAACTTTTTAAATCTTGTCTTTTTTCACTTTATAAAATGAATATTTTCCTAGAGTTTTAAATATTCTTAGGGAACATGATTCAAAATAATTAATAGTGGCCCACTGATTAGCTATACCATAATTAATCATTTTCTAGTGTTGGATATAATCAATATTCTAATATTTTCAACATTATAAATGATATGGCTAATAATATTATGGTGAGTACATCTTAATTATTCTCCTAAAATAAATTCCTAGAAGTAGAATTTATAGAGAGCTGTTTGAATGTTTCTGATTCACCTTAGACAACCTCCCTCTTGAAAGATTTAACAATGATCATTTTCCAGGCTTTGAAAAAAGTCTGGCCTATCTCTGAACTATTTTATTTACTTGAACTCTTTCGTTTGAATTTTAATGTTTTTCTTCTTACAATGCTCTTTATAGGAAATTTAATCACATTTAAGAAGAGATGCTTATGAACATTCCAAATAAAAAGTATCACTAAAGGGCTGGGCCTGGGGCTCAGAGGTAGACTTGCCTAGCACGTGTGAGGCCCAGGTTTAATCCCCAGTATTGAAAAAAAAAAAAAAAAAAAGACTGTTAAGAAGCTTATTCAAGTGGTACTTCTCCTACTCACTTTTAAATAAAGAACCGTTTTTAAAACACATTTTCACAGGTGACTTGATTCTCACAACACAGTGCAGTTATCACTATCCCCATTTTACAGATGAAGGAATCAAGGCTGAAGCTGTAGTTGCTACAAGGCCCTGCAACTACAAGCAGCCAAGTGAAGTTCACTGTGAAGTCCCTTCCAGGATACTTGCCATTTCTCTCAACGCTGTCAGTCTGCACTGTGGTTGCTACACATAAAATTCAAACAGCTTCTCTGAAGCCAAAGAGAGGGTCAGATGAAGTCAGCTTCCTTCCCTGTTTCTTTTATTCATTTATTAAATGAATAAAACAGAAAGTAATTATACAGGTGAATGATCTCCTTCCTAATGGTCTGGAATTAATATACATATATAGAACTTCAATTTCAAAAGGTAAACTTCAGCTTTTTAGAATCGTGCTTTTGCTTTGATTATCAGGGTTTTAGCAAATGAACCCACCGAGTGAACTCATCTCCTTAGCAAAATTCAAATATACTCCAATCATGAAATCCAAATATACTTTTATMTAATGGTCTCTGGCAGAACAGGACAAAGACAAGAGCCTGAACAATCCATTTGTTTGCAGCACAAACCTAGATAATTAGTGAGTTTGCTATCTGTGTATTTTTTTCATGCTGGCATTGGGTATACAGTCATAATTTTTCACAAATGTCTTTTAATAAGCTTTCTGTTAGTAATAACATTCTCACTACTTGAATGCATTTTCTTGGCATCTTAACAAGAGTAATGCAATTATTTTAAAACAAATGAAGTCAGAAGCAATCTCAAAATATGCTCCAGATTTGCCACTTTTCATGTGTCCCTCTTCTTCAAATGTGCTTCTTTGGCTCCTGAAACTCCACCTGCACTAAGAACCACACCTCTTCATGTTTGGGGTATGCTCTTTTCCTCCCTTCACTGTCTTTAGGGGTACATCCTCAGCCCCCTGCYCTTCCACTCCACACACTTCTCCCAGTGATGTGACCCATGCCTGACACTTCATTATTTCTCTTTCAATATTGATGTCTGAATCTAATCTCCAAGTCCAGCCACACCCCTGAGTTCCAGATCTTCATGGCTAACTGCTTACCTGAAGGTTCTATAAATATTCCATTCTCAGTGTGTTCAAAACTGAACTCCTGTCCCCTCCGTCTTGGTAAATGAAAATCCCACTTTCCATCAAGGAGCTCAAATCAGAAAGCATGAATACTTTCCATATTCCCTCTCGCCAAGCAACAGCCACAAGGCCTCAGAGATTCAGTCTTGCAAATATGCCTCAGTCCCTTCCTTCAATGTCTTTCTTCTCCAGGGCCACTCTCTTAGACTAATGTTCAGAAAACCTAATTCACRGCAAAAGCTTCTTCTTGACCTGTTTTCTCTGCCTGCTCGTTTTCCTCCTTCCACCCAACCTCCATGCTATTCCTGAGTGATTCTTTGAGAATGTAAGTCTGTACACTTCACACCTACTGGGATGCCTATAATAAAAAAAAATGAAAATACTAAGTATCAGTGAGGATGCGAAGATATTGGAATACTTGTACACTGCTGGTGGGGATGCAAAATTATACAGCCACTGTGGAAAATGGCTTAGCAGTTCCTTAAAAAYGAAACAAGTATACAAATGGAACTACCCTATGACCCAACACCTCAGTCCCAGGTGTAGACCCCAAAGAACTAAAAGCAGGGACTCAAACTGGCACTTTTGTCCATAGCAGCACTGTTTACAAGAGCCCCCAAGTGGAAATAACCCAAGTGTCCCTGAACAGACGAATGGATAAATGTGTTAGTACATACATACGATGGATTATCATCCAGCTCTATAGGGAAATGAAATTGTGACATAAGTGACAACCTGGGCAAACCCTGAAGRCATTACACTGAGTGAAATAAGCCAGACATCCAAGGACAGATATCACTTAATTTCAGGTGTGTGCAATRCATAAAAATAGGTCAATTTATAGAGCCGGAAAGCTGGACCTGGGAGGAAGGGAGGGACAGGGACTTGCTGTTAGTTGGCTCAGTTTCTGTTTGAGGTGATGAAAAAGTTTGGGGACTGAACAGTGGTTGATGGTTCACAACACTGTGACTGTAACTGATGCCGATGAAAAATTTTATGATACACAAAAAAGTAGGGTGGGGGCTGGGAAGGGCAGAGGCAAGCCATTTAAAAAAAAAAAAAAAAAACGTAAATCTGATCCAGTTTGTCTCATGCTTAGACCTCTTCAGTCTCCTAAGAATTTCGCCTTCAAGGTAACTTTGAGGTTCTTGAGTTCAGCAGCCCTTCCTGACCTCATGCCTGTTCATCCCTCAAATCTCATCGCTCACCCATCTGTGTGCACCCTCTACTCCACTCTGAAAACCACCTGTTTCTGCTCGTCCAGATGCTRCTTCATGCCTTGTACTTCTGCACTGTTGTTCCTTCTACCTAAAATGCCTTCTCCACTCCTGCTCTGTAGGCTCATTTCTACTCTTCATTTAAAACAGCTTCTCAAACTTCTCCAGGAGGCTGTCCTCACTCCTGATCCCAATCTGCCTTAAAAGGCCAGCTTTCTCYGTTGCCACACACCCCAGGTGCCTATTACAACAGTGAGGATGAACAGCATGATTAGCACCTTCCCAGCTTACCGAAGTTCCCTGTGTCTGACCCATTTTTCTCCCCTCTCTACTGGGTGTCATAGCAGGTTCTCAATGAACACTTAATGACTACATTCCACAGAATCTTCATCAGAGATCCTTCTAAAAGACTCAGCTCTCCCTTCAAAACCAACAGTGCCACAGAAAGACTGATCATTCTCATACATTCTTCTTTTCTAAATAATATTAAACACCCCTCGGCCTAGGGCTATGACTCAGTGTTAGAGCACTTGTCTAGCATGCATGAGGCCCTGGATTTAGATCCCAGCACAACTAAAAAATAAAATAAAATAAACGAAACAAACAAACAAAAAACTGAACACTCTGAGRCTACATAAATAAAATCAACCTCATCTCTACTGACTGGCTTCCCCAAATCTCTGGAAAAAGTCCAGAGACTCATTTCCCGAGCCTCTGGAAAAGATACTGTATAATCAGCATTTTACAAAATCCGTAAAGTACTTTGAAGTCCATCACTTCCTTAGAGGGCACAGAAAATGGTGGGATAAAAGAAGGTCTATAGCAGAATGGAGAAGCTGTGGGACAGAGAGCCCATCAGGGAGACGTACATCTCCACTGTCACCACACAGCCTCTTAGGAAGGGAGGGAATATGYCAAACCATAGTCCAGGACTTACCTGCTGCCACTGGGTGCTGATATTTCTATCTTTGTTGAAAGATAGGTAAAGGGATTCTGAGAAAGCTTTTCCACCACTTTTTCTGTCATGATTTCTGACCTGGAAGGAAGGAGGCCTTGGGTCACCCCCTACCCAGATGTAYCAGGAAACAGCATGATTGCTACAGGTCACCCGACCCCATCCAGGAGCAGAGAGACAGGAGGCCAGGCACGGTGAAGAAATGCCCCACTCAGAATCAGACTTTCTAATCCATGTGTAATGTTCTCCTAGTGGTTAAGTATTGTGATAAAGAAGGCAAGGACCACCGGGTGTCGTGGCGCATGCCTGCAATCCCAGTGGCTTGGGAGGCTGARGCAAAAGGATCGCAAGTTCAAAGTCAGCCTCAGCAACTTAGCAAGGCTGTAAGCAACCTAGTGAGACCCTGTCTCAAAATAAAAAATAAAAAGGACTGGAGATGTGGCTCAGTGGTTAAGTGCCCCTGAGTTCAATCCCTGGCATCAAAAAAAAAAGGACATGTATTTAGCTGTGACCATAAACATTAAGTGAATTCACCTGGTGCTGACATTTCTGAATCCTAGGTTCTTCATTTTCTAAAATGTGGGCAGTTAAGTAAATAATCTTTACTGTTGGCTGCTGCCAACAACAACAACAAAAAAATTCAATCTGGCAGTAATTTGCATGTTTGTGATCTTTCCTCTGGGACCAATTCTATTTTCCTATGTACCCCCCAAAACCTCCACTTGGCCCCTAGGTGGCAGGAAACACTGGTACCTCTGGTACTCAGSGTTCCCACTTCAACTGAGGTGATCAACAACAGTAGTGCTTGTGATCCTAAAGATGAAGGGAAGAGATTAAAAAAAAAAAAAAAAAAAGACTAAGTCACTTTTAGCTCAGATGAGTGGGGACCATCAACTGACGGAGAATGAAAAACAGCCAACAGCTTTAGACAAACTGTCACTTGGTCCACTGCCGCTTCCTGAGCATCGCCTTAATGGAAGAGGCTAAGAGAACAGACAACCAAAATCAGTAGAAGATCTTCCAATTATTTATACATGGCTTGGGAGATGCCTTGTCCTTACATTTGAATCATACTCATTCTTCTGTCTTGAGAATCACAGCTAAATTATGAAGCRTAATGGGAAGAACTACATCAAAAAAAGCTGGGATGCTGCATTATGTCCTCATCTTTGTCCCAACTCAGAAACTGTCCCCTTCACTTACGGTGGGGACCTATCATCAACTTTCACACCAACRTAAGTGCTGGCCTAGGATGAGTTGCAAACTTTATTGTGCTTTAATCTAAGATGAATTGTTACTTTTATTTTGTTCTAATGTTTCCATCACATAGCTGTAGCTTTAGAGAAGTCACTAAAGAATACTTCAGGGGGCTGGGGATGTGGCTGGGGCTGGGGATGTGGCTCAAGCGGTAGTGCGCTCGCCTGGCATGCGTAGGGTGCTGGGTTTAATCCTCAGCACCACATAAAAATAAAAAAATAAAGATGTTGTGTCTGCCGAGAACTAAATATATTTATTTATTTATTTATTTATTTATTTATTTATTTATTTATTTATTTCAGGCTATAAGCCATAGTAGATGACAAAAATAAACAAGGACATAGTAAGTATTCTCAGCATTCACCTTCCTATCCACATGGCTTAACTAATATGGAAACAAGAGTTTTATCTGATTAAATTGACCACAGATAACCAAAGATTCATTGGTTATAATGTAAATGATGAGTAAGGTAGTAAGTGGTATTTATTATTTTAAGCCAAATATGCAAGAAGAYGTTCTCCTCATGGTTAGTATTTCAATAAAGAAGGCTAGTATCTAGCTGCAACCATAAACATTAAGCAAATTAACCTCATGTACCTACATATCTTCTAGGCTCTGTTGATCCTCCTACGTATCTAATAATCATCAGAGTTGATGGAGAAGTTCCATTTCACTCAATGTCAGGTAGTAGTTGGGTGGATAATCATGTTGCCATGTATTTTATTTCTTGACATAATCTTCCCAGTTTTTATGCCAACTTTTTTTTTTTTTCAWAAAACGAGGGAGCAATCATTATGTGAAACTTTAAAAATATGGTGCCCGGGCTGGGGCTATAGCTCTGTGGCAGAGTGCTTGCTTTGCACATATGAGGCACTGGGTTCGATCCTCAGCACCACATAAAAGTGAACAAATAAAATAGAGGCATGCTGTCCATCTACCATAAAATGTTTTAAAAAATGGTGCCCGTATTATTTAACAATCATTTATTACTAAACTTTCCTTATTGCAAGATTAGGATGCATGAAATACTTATGACTCTCTCTCTCTCTCTCTCTCTCTCTATATATATATATATATAAACGCAGTGGTGACAATTATGCAGTGAAATACAGTATCTAGAAATAGTAATTTAAATAGCAATCTTATTCTCTTTTCCCTAGAGTCAAAGATTTCATGGGGTTAGAGCAAAAATCCACTTACTGGGAGGGGTCTGAATCGCTTCCTTTGCGTTTTCTTGGAAATTCCATCATGTGTGAGCTGAAGGGCCCAACCACTGCTGGTTTCACTCCTGGGCTCACGTGACTGGAAACCACAGGAGCAATGCCCTGGTTTTCCTCCAGCAGCACTTTACCTACAAGACACAAAGCACAATAAAACAGGTATTTTATTTATTYTTTTAAAAAATGTATATATTTTAGTTGTAGGTGGACATAATACCTATATTTTATCTTTATATAGTACCGAGGARCAAACCCAGTGCCTCACACATGCTAGGCAAGCGCTGTACCCTTGAGCCACAACCTCAGCCCCAAGAAGCATATTTTAAACACTGATTTGCACTTTTATATATCACTGTATCTCACAATTTAAATAACTTTTCTGTCTTGATGTTTCAAAAATATCAGCTAAGTACAGCATAAGAAAGACTCAATAGGCACATTCAAACATTAGTTGGAAACATATTTATTCATCCATATTTTTAAGTTACTTTTCCCTATCTAATTGTAAAGGAAATTTGAGTATTGTAGAAAATACGAAAAACACAAAAAAAAAAGTAGAAGGAAAGAGGAAACCGAAATTTTACCAATTAATGTTACTATTTTTCTTTATTTTTAACTGATACATAAAAATAAAAATTATACATATTCATGGGGTACCAACCAAAGATTGAGATATTTCCTTTTAGAATTTTTTCTATAGTTGTCATTAAAGTAACTGAGATCAAAGTACAGGCTTGTTATTTACATATTATTGTAACATAACTTTCCAGTGTTATTACAAATTCATGATAAATTATTTTAATGTCTACATATATCATCATGTGCCAGCTCATAGTTACTTAACCACTCTCCTATTGTTAGAATCTGTATGCTTTCACTTATTTATTTTACCACAGATAATACATATTTTGGTACATAAAGCTTTTTACCTACTTCTGGTTATTTCTTTGGCTAGTTTATCAGAAACRAGTTAATAAGGTCAAGTGATGTATTTTTCAACCCTGAATTGCCAAATCTGATAGTGAAATCATTTTTTGTTTCCAGTGTGCCTTATTCAGTATTTTACAAAATCTAAAAATCAGGATTAATAYACCAGAAATAACTAGTAGATCAAACATGGGCCTCCTTAAAGATTCTATTTTTTATATTAAAATGGATATAACAAGTTTAAACTCATTTGTACCTAACAAAATAGACTAAAAAATAAGAAATATTTATGGGAAAATATAGTAAATCTCAAAAATTGAGCGGTTCTTTTTTAAAAATTTTTTTTTTTAGTTGTAGTTGGACATAATATCTTTTTATTTGTTTTTATTTTTAGGTGGTGCTAAGGATCTAACCCAGCTCCTCGCACGTGCTAGGTGAGTGCTCTACCGCGGAGCCACACCTCAGCCCCCCAAAATTGTGAGATTCTTAACACATCTCTAAAAATAACTGATAAACTAAGCATTTTTTTTTTAAAAAAAGGATTTAGAAGGTGTGAACCACACGATGGACAAGAATGATATAATAAACACATGAAACTCGGAGCTTCAAAATCTAGTGTTGCTTRTTTTAGGACACCCTGGGGGCATTATAAAAATTGGAAATATATGGGACCAAAATGCTCATGTCTCAAGAATTTCAAATAATTGCTATCATACATAAAATGTTTYCTGACTACCATGTAATAACACTAGAAACCAGTAACGCAAAGATAACCAGAAAATCCCTATGTTTTTGGAAAATTAGAAATATACAAAACTCACAGCACAAGAATTTATTTTTTCTTTTCTTTTTTAAAAATTTCTTTAAAATTATAGTTAGACATAATACCTTTATTTTATTAATTTATTTTCATGTGGTGCTGAGGATCAAACCTAATGCCTTGCATGTGCTAGGTGAGTGCTTTACTACTGAGCCACAACCCCAGCCCCATTTTTTTCTTTCTTTATTTATCTTTTGGGGTACCGGGGATTGAGCCACTGGGATTATAGGCATAAAGTTACAAAATATTTGGAACTAAATAATTTTAAATTATTATACATTAAAATGTGTGGAAATGCAAAAGTATTATAGGAAAGTTTTAACCTTAAGTGTTTTAAAAAGAAGAAAGATTGAAATTTCATGAGCTACTATTTTAAGAAATTAGAAAAAGAGCTGTGAAATAAATTCATAGAATTAGAAGAAAAGTGATCATAATAAATAAGACCAGGAATAATGAAACAAAATAAACATATAAGAATGCAGATTTTAGTCTAGTRCATGCCTGTAATCCCATCAGCTCCTGAGGCTGAGACAGGAGTATCACAAGTTCAAAGGCAGCCTGAGCAAAAGCAAGGAGTTAAGCAACTCAGTGAGACCCTTTTTACAGAGAGGCCTGAGGATATAGCTCAGCAGTAGAGCTACTTGCCTGGCATGCATAATAGCCCTGGGTTTGATCCCCAGCACCACAAAAACACAAAATAATAATTTTTAAAAATCCAAATAAGTGAGTCAGGCATGCTGGCACCTGCCCATAATCCCAGCTACTCCAGAGGCTAAGGCAAAAGGATCCATGTTTGAAGTCAGCCTTAGCAATTTAGCAAAACTCTTTCTCAAAATAAAAAATAAAAAGGGCTGAGGATGTAGCTCAGTGGTAAAGTGCCCRAGTTCAACCCCCAGTACAAAAAACCCAAAATACAAAAATCTATCCAAATAAACAGAAAGACATGCCAAGTTTATGGAAATTAATGAATAGCTACTCAATCTCAATAGTAATAAGGAAGATCCAAAGTAAATGACACCAATACACTAACACATGATGGCTACAATGCAGAAATCTGATGATACAAAGTTGCAGAGGATTCAGAGCAATAGAGMACTCTGCTCTGCTGGTGGGCATGTCATCTGTTACAACTACTCTGGAAACCATTTCTTYGCATTAACTGATAGATCTGAATATGTGCATAGAGTGAGTGTTCCAATCTCAGGTATATGGGAAGACTCTTAATAAAATTTTTTTTTGTTGGGGGTAGACATTGAGCCCAGGGGCGCTTAACCACTAAGCCATATTCCATCCCTTTTTATATTTTATTTTGAGACAAGTTCTTGTTAAGTTGCATAGGACCTTGCTAAATTGCTGAGGTTGGCCTTGAACTTTTGATCTTTCTGCCTCAGCCTCCTAAATCACTAGGATTATAGGTATGTGTTATCATGCCCAGAATGACTCCTAATGTTTTCTAGGAGACATGAACAACAAATGGTTAGCCATAACATAGTTAAAAAAAAAAAAAGACAACCCAAGAAAACTGGAAAATATTTAAATTTCCACTAACAGAATGGAAAAATTGTCTATTCACTGAATAGAGTGYTAACAGCAGTAAAAATGAAGTACAGTCATACTCATTAACCAGAGACTGAACTGCAAAAAACACAATGCTGAGTAAAAATGTCACAGCCCCAAACACATAGCACCTTTAAAAATTTTTACATAAAGTCCAAAACAAGTAAAACRAATCAATGTTTTTAAAAGGTTCTTATGTAAATTGCTACCCTATACTGAGAAGCAGSGGCATGGTTTACCTGAGTGGGAACAGCAGTTCTCTGGGTGAGCAGAGGGAGGCGCTGTCAGCAAAGGACATGCTGTACTTCCAAAGAACTCACATTCTACTCCTTTCACAGGTGACTTTTTTTTTTTTTTTTAATTCTTTAACCTACACATAAAGTTTTTACCATCCTCTGTAAGTATGGYGGATCCAGGGAGAAACATTTTACCAATGATGCTTCTCACTTGGGKGGGTCAACTCAGGACCACTACATACCACAGGAAATTAATCATGGTTTCAACTCCTAGACTTCATTCTAATGAAGTCTAAATATTAGAACACCATCTATTTCCATGGAAAAAAATCAAGGGAACTTCCTATATCAAATAGTAAATCAATGGGCTGGGGCGTGGCTCCGTGGTAGAGTACTTGCCTTGCATGCATGAGGCAATGGATCCGATCCTCAGCATCACATAAAAATAAATAAAGAAAATAAAGGTATTGTGTTCATCTATAACTAAAAAAAAAAAAAAAAAAAAAAAAAAAATTCTAAAAAAACCCCAGTAAATCAAAAGGAATAGTAAGCTAACTTTGCACAGTTCGCCATGTTATATATAATCCCAGGCGCCCCACCACCCTGCTCCATGCCTCCAATGCACACGCCAGCAAGCACACTTCTTTCCTTCACATAAGGTCAGAGACAGAAATAAATGAAGATATTTTTCTCATTTCAACTTTTTTTTTTTTTTTTGCCTCTCGCTCTGGGAGGCATGATCTTCACATATTTCTATTCCACTTCCTTCATTAACCTTTAAAGTAAGAAATGGATTATCTTTAAACAAGCACAACAATCTTTTCATAAAATCAAGATCTGAAGCTCCGAGGGTCTTTATTTTCATGTCCCTTCCTGGGGAGGGGGTAATGCCCCACCACTGGCCATTCTATCAGGTCTGCAGTCAGAAGTGTATTCAAAGCAGAGGGTTCTCTGTAAACAAAAGGGAAACTTGGGCTAGTGGCACTAATTAGTTCTGGATTAAAAGGATCTGTTCTTTGGAAGCAATTCAACCTTCATGGAGTGGAAGCTGTTTTTTCGGGAAGAAACATCAAGATTTCATTTTTAACCTTCTAGTTTACTTGACTTTCAGCCTCCACATACCTTTATAAAAAGATGACACCATGTGTTCAGATTTGAAATTCAGCCCTGCTTTTATATAACTCATTTGGGGGGTGTATGATTTAATATTTTGATATTGTTTTTTCCTGGCTGACTTGAGTCACTTCTCAATGATGAATGTAATATGTGTTATTTAACATCTGACAAAATAATCCAGAATTGAGGTTGAACAAAGACACTGTGTCTTTTGCAGAGGAAGTCTGTGAATTTAACCTGAGATTAGCATTAAATTTCACTTCATTCTATGTGTTCTGGTGATAGTAAGTACTCTCATGTTTTTGTTTTTGTTTTTTTTTTTTGTTGTTGTTGTTGTTCTTTTTTTGTACCAGGGATTGAACCCAGGGGCTCTTAACCACTGATCCATATCCCCCCATCCTTTTTAAAATATTTTATCTAGATACAGGGTCTTGCTGAGTTGCTTGAGGTTCTTGCTAAATTGCTGGGGCTGGCTTTGAACTCTCACTCCTCCTGCCTCAGCCTCCCAAACCGCTGGGATTATAGGCATGTGCCACCAGGCCCGCCCACCCACCCACAGTATTTTAAAGGCTGACATTTAGCATCAACTCAAGTATGAAAACAATCGGTGAGAAATGAATGAGTAGTAGGGAGTCAGAATCAGGGGACACCAAGCAGCCACTGGGTTTAGGGTCCAGGTTACCTAGGGGATCAAGTTCAGCATGATATTGTGCTCAAAGGAGAATAAATATACACACTTGCACACACACTTCAAACAGGTGCCATAGCAGGATAGGAGAAATATGTTTTTCATAACCTTAAAACCTTTTTCTYATTACCTACTTTCATTGCCAGTAGGACTGCTACACATTAAAACTGATATAAATTATCATTATCTTGTACATATTTTTTTATTTAAATGATTTGTTCTGTGTAATCATCTAAATGATTTCCTTTAAAAATGAACGTGGTTTTCTCTTCTTAATTTCTATGAGTCCATGCCCAGAACATCTTTTCAGTCTGTTCAACCAACTATCCTTTTAGTACTGGCTATTTTGGATAAGCCACTTAACATATTCAAACCTGTTTCTTTAAGATGGAGGCAATTTGCTGCCAATTGCTTGTTTGGGGAGTCAGATAAAAAAATGTATTTGAAATCCAAAGATTTAGTGATGCTAACTACTTAAGTAGTAGCCCAGCAAAAAGGAGCTGACATTACTGTTAAGCCACTGTAAGTGCCCAGGGTGTTGGTCAGGAAAATGCACTGAGTGAAATGTCTTTGCTTTTTATTTGAAAGAATTTCAGGCTAGCAAAAAAAGTGCAAAGAATCCCCGTATATCTACCCTTCAATCAGATTCCCCAAATGGTAATATCTCACTAAACCCAGTATAATGATCAACACCAGGAAATTATCTGGGATATAGTACTATTATCTTCAAATTTTGCCGTTTGTCCTACTAATGTCCTTTTTCTGATCCAGGATCTAATCCAGGATCACATTATGCACTTAAAGTGTCTGTTTTCTGTCCTCAATGTCCTTTCATCTGTAACAAATCTTCAGTTTTCCTTTGACTATCTCAAAATTTTGAAAGGTAGAGGGCAGTTACTTTGCAGAATGTCCTCTAGTTTAAGTTTGCCTGATAATCCCTCACAATTAAATTCAGATTATGCGTGTTCATCAAGAACATCACAGATGTTCTCCTCAGAGCAAAATCCTCCACTTTTAAATTCCATTGCTTCTTGTACTTTTAATTGCTTTGTTAAGATCCTGCTCATCAGAATTCCAAATGGTGCTCAGCTCGTGGAATCAACAGAGGCGGCAGAGGAAAGATTAATGAGCTCTTTGATAAGGTTATGAGCTCCAACCCTGGGAAGTGTTTGAGGACCATGTCATCTTTTTGTCCCCAATCTCAGCACAGTGSCTGACACATAGTGAGTGTTCAGAGTTTGGTAAAAGAATGAGTTACACTCACTTCATTATCCCTGGCATCCAAAGGAGGATCTGAAAGATGTGAGASCAGAACTTCCAGTTTCACTTGGCTTCCTGGGCTGCCGAGGCCACAGTTGCTCAAGTCCACAGTAAGGAACASGGAAGTCCCTACTGTACCTACTTCACAAACAAGCAGGCCCACTTCCAACCATGACTTCGCTTTTACCATTTTCTTTCCATAGAAGAAAAATGATACTTATCACCTGCTGGGGAAAGGGATCTKGAAGTCTGGAGCTTTCTAGAATGACAAACAGTAACTGCTCTGTAGGTTTGTATTAATGTGCTAAAAATGCTGTTCCTCATCACTGACACACTATTTTAAAGTGCTCGATAATTTGACCGATAGAAATAAAGTGCTAAYTGGCATCGTTYAAGAAAAATGTCATCAATACATAATACTAAGTATGAGTTATAAAAGATACTTTTGCTTAGCAGAGATTTAAAATATTATTTCACAGTATTCATTGAGAGATAAATACTCCAGCTGGGCATGGTGGCACACACCTGTAATCCTAGCAGCTTGGGAGGCTGAGACAAGAGGATCATGAGTTCAAAGCCAGCCTCAGCAAAAAGCAAGGTGCTAAGCAACTCAGTGAGACCTTGTCTCTAAATAAAATCAAAAAAGGGCTGGGGATGTGGCTCAGCAGCGTCCCTGAGTTCAATTCCTAGTATCCCT